TCTAAAGTTTTAGAAGGGAAATACAGAAAGATATCATATGAAGACAGGTGCTGCCCATGGGAGAAGTGGAATCTATGTTCCACATGTTCTTTTGCTGTCCTTCTCATCAGGTTTATAGAGCCAGTTTGGTGTAGTGGTGAAGTGTGCGGACTCTAATCTGGGAGAACCGGGCTTGATTCCCCACGCCTCCACTGGCACCTGCAGGATGACCTTGGGCAAGCCATAGTTCTGATAAGAGCTGTCCTTGAAAAAGAGCCGTTTCTGTCAAGAGCTCTCTCAGCCCCACCCACCTCACAGCGTGTCTGTTGTGGGGAGGGGAAGGGAAAGGAGTTTGTTAGCCGCTCTGAGACTCCTTTGGGTAGTGAAGGGCGGGGTATAAATCCAATCTCTTCTTCTCTATAGGGATAAGTTTATTGCCCTCCTCTTGGAGAGACCAGCACTTGATGCAGATAGTGCTGATCTAGAGAGACTTTTGATAGAGGAAAATCAGCAGATCTCCAGGCAGATAGCAAAATTCTGCTGGCAACTGGTCAAATTTCACAATAAGAAGCAGATCAAGTAGAATCCTTATTTACCCTTTTGCATGACTCATAAGTAGTTCAGTTTTAAACATCTTATAATTATCTTGCTAAAATGGACTGTTAAACCTTTCTCCTTTTAACATTTTAATGACTTTAAGGTTATATGTTTATTTTTAGAGCTGAAAGCTAATTTGTATTATTTTGATAAATGGTCTTTGACCGCAAATAAACATAATCCGTTCAATGGCAGAGCTGTGACTGGAAGCTCTGAATGGGCCTGCTAGTTACTCAAGGCCAATCTATTTAAAATAAAATAAAAAAACAGGCCACAATCGAGCGTAGAAAAAGGCCTTTTGCCCCCCAGGATAATAGTTTGAAGCAGGCAGCCATTTTGGTTTGGAGACCAACAAGATTCCCAGGGCATTATCTTTCAAGAGTCAAAGTTTTGTTTGAGAGCCAGTTTGGTGTAGTGGTTAGGAGCGCAGACTCTAATCTGGGAGAACCGGGTTGGATTCCCCACTCCTCCACTTGCAGCTGCTGGTGTGACCTTGGGTCACTCACAAGTTCTCTCAGAGCTGTTCTCTCAAGAACAGTCCTCGAAAGGGCTCTCTCAACCCCACCTACCTCACAGGCAGTGTTCCCTCTAAGCTGAGTCAGCGTGAGCTACAGTTTTTTAGCCTCCAGCTCACACATTTTTTTGCCTAAGCTCAGGCAGGAGGGCTCCAGAGCAAACTAATTTATGCAGCAGCCACATCGCTCGCTCACAGCTCTAATGCCAGTAGCTCACAAAGGAGAATTTTTGCTCACAACACCCCACAGCTTAGAGGGAGCACTGCTCCCAGGGTGTCTGTTGTGGGGAGGGGAAGGGAAAGGAGACCGTAAGCCGCTCTGAGACTCCTCCGGGTAGTGAAGGACCGGGTATAAATCCAATCTCTTCTTCTTCATCAGGTACCAGAGGAAGGAAGCATTGACTCTCAAAAGCTGATGCCCTGGAAGCCTTGTTGGTCCTTAAGGTGGTACTGGATTCGAGTCCAGATCTTTTGCCCCCAACCGGCTCTGAATTTGTACTGCGTTACGGTCATGAGGTTTCTTGACTGCCATTAACTGTCAAGAGGAGCAGAATATAGTTTTGGGCAGGGCTTTTTTTTTGTAGAAAAAGCCCAGCAGGAACTCATTAGCATAATAGGCCACAACCAACAGCAGAAACTCATTAGCATATTAGGCCACAGCCCTGACAGCAAAGCTCATTGGCATATTAGGCCACACACCCCATGTTACCAGAGGTTTGCTCATCCAGCCACGCCCACCTTTTGCTTCTTATTCTGTGGACCTTGTTTGGGGTCAAAACCCAGGGCCTTTTTTTGGAGCAGGAACTCCTTTGCATGTTAGGCCACACACCCCTAATGTAGCCAATCCTAATGCGTTTCTGCTGTTGGGTGTGGCCTATCATGCTAATGAGTTCCTGCTGGGCGTGGCCAACTCGGGAGCCAGCCGGAACTCCGTTCCTGTGCGTTCCTGCCCAATAATAGCCCTGGTTTTGGGAGGAGGCAGAGGAGCAGATTGGAACTCGGCCCTGTGTGGTGGAGGGCCACCTCTGGTGCCACGCCTTCCGGCAGAATGCCGGGTTGGGGCGGGAGGAGTGGAGAGAAACTGCCACCCAAAAGAGTGATCTACTGCCTGTCCACCCAGTTCAAGACCCTGAAAATCTGCCTCCCATAAATAACCCAGCTGTTTCTACTTTCCTCTCCCAGACATGCCTGTAGTCGTCAACAGGCACACACCGAAGTTTAGTCAACATAGCAACACATCCATTAGTTACCTCCCACCTCTGATCCCTTCGGGGGACAATCTGTCAGCTTACTTGTTACAACTCTTCCTTTTTTTATTTTTAGCTTAAACGGGGACAGGCCCCCGTTTTTTACCCTCCGCAATTGGACGAAGAAGTGAAGAAACGGCGGCCCTAATCTTTCTGTCGATCTGTGCGTGTTCGCAGGGAAAAGGCTTGCAAGGACACGCCAACACTTGAAAGGTTAAAGACCGTCTCCCTTGCACGTTTACCAACGATGTATAAATAGAAAAGCCAAAAAAGCTGCTTAGCCTGGTAAGAAGTAGGGCGGCTGAGCTAATCTACACGCCACGGATCTCCCCACAGACCTTCGTGTTATACCCCATGCAACTTGGGAGAGGTTTGTGAGGGGTCGAACTGGAGTGGCAACCAGTGTTCCCTCTGAGCTGAGTTAGTGTGAGCTAGCTCACAGTTTTCCAGCCTCCGGCTCACAGATTTTTGTCTTCGCTCAGGAAGGAGGGCTCCAGAGCAAACTGATTTGCGCAGCAGCCAAATAGCTCACTCACAACTTTGACGCCAGTAGCTCACAACGTAGAATTTCTGTGCACAGGACTACACAGCTTAGAGGGAGCATTGGTGGCAACCAACCGCACCATAAGGGCTCTGACACAGATTCATGCACAACTGAGTCAGGAAATCAGGCACAGGCAGGAGCCAGTGTGCTGTAGCGGATTCAGTGTTGTGGCTCAACGGCAGAGCATCTGCTTGGCATGCGGAAGGTCCCCGGTTCGATCCCCAGCATCTCCAGTGAAAAAGGGGGTGGGTGATGTGAAAGACCTCTACCAGAGACCCCAGAAAGCCAGTACGGATCTGAGCAGACAACGCTGACTTTGATGGACCAAGAGTCTCATTCAGTACCAGGCAGCTTCATGTGCCGGACAAGGAGCTGGGAGACCCAGGTTCAAATTCCTCGCTCTGCTACGGAGCTCGCCGGGTGACTGTTCTCAGCCTAACCTACCTCACAGGTTGGCCGCAAGGACAAAACGGGGGAAGGAAGAGTCATGTATGTCAGCCTGAGCTCCTCGCAGGAAGGGCGGGGATAAAAACGTGCCAGATATGTAGGGGGTCTGGATCAAACGCAAAGAAATCCCATTTGGGAAGTCTCTCACACTCACGTTGGATTCAAGAAGAAGAGAAGAGATTGGATTTATACCCCGCCCTTCACTACCCAAAGGAGTCTCAGAGCGGCTTACAAACTCCTTCACCTTCCCCTCCCCACAACAGACACCCTGTGAGGTAGGTGGGGCTGAGAGAGCTCTTGACAGAAACTGCTCTTTTTCAAGAACAGCTCTGACAGAACTATGGCTTGCCCAAGGTCATCCAGCAGGTGCAAGTGGAGGAGTGGGGAATCAAGGCCGACTCTCTCAGATTAGAGTCTGTGCACTTAACCACTACACTAAACTGGCAAGAAGAAGAAGAAGAAGAAGAGGAAGAGGAGGAGGAGGAGGAGATTGGATTTATACCCCGCCCTTCACTTGGAGTCTCAGAGCGGCTTACAAACTCCTCTCCCTTCCCCTCCCCACAACAGACACCCTGTGAGGCAGGTGGGGCTGAGAGGATTCTGACAGAAACCACCCTTTTTCAAGAACAGCTCTTATCAGAACTATGGCTTGCAGATGCAAGTGGAGGAGTGGGGAATCCAACCCGGTTCTCCCAGATTCGAGTCCGCGCACTTCACCACGACACCAAACTGGCCTAATGCTGGCCCGACCAGGAAGACAGAAAAACAAAAACATTTTCAGAGGGTTGTAAAAGAGCTCTGACACGGGAGGTTTAGTGTCCTCACTGCAGAAGCGGGCCACTGACCAAGCAAGACACCGATTTAGGCCAAAATATACTGAAACACTTCTGTGGAGAGCAATGTTCCCTCTAAGCTCTGGAGTCTTGTGAGCAAAAATTCTCCTTTCTGAGCGACTAGCATGAAAGTTGTGAGCGAGGGATCTGGCTACTGCATCAATTAGTTTGCTCTGGAGCCATCCTTCCTGAGCAAAGACAAAAATCCGTGAGCCGGAGGCTTAAAAACTATGAGCTAGCTCACACTAACTCAGCTTAGAGGGAACACTGGTGGAGAGTTGTTCCCTCTAAGCTGTGGAGTCTTGTGAGCAAAAATTCTACTTGGTGAGCCACTGGCCTTAAAGTTGTGAGCGAGCGATTTGGCTTCTGCATAAATCAGTCTGCTCTGGAGCCCTCCTTCCTGAGCAAAGACAAAAATGTGTGAGCCGTAGGCTAAAAACTGGGAGCTAGCTCACACTAACTCAGCTTAGAGGGAACACTGGTGGAGACTAAAAAAATGGCCATTTAGATTGAGGGGCTCAAAACTTCTGAGGAGAATTTTTTTTTGGGGGGGGGGGTGTTCCTCTCTCTCTTTCCAGTCTCGGGACCACTTGACAGGCACGCCGCCTCACCTTTTCATCCAGGAAGACATCTCCCTCGAAATAGGGTTGAAAATCCTCCACTTCCGTGCCGATCTTCTCTTTAACGACAGCATAAAGCGGGACCCCCAGCTGGCTGAGCTGGGGCTTCAGAGAGGACAGCTCGGCAGCCTCCTGAAAGCAAGACGAGCATCGCGATATCAGGGGACAGACTCGGAAAGCGCGGTCCAAGGGTCACGGGGGCCTGACCAGTATCCGGAAAGAAGCGGATTCAAGTCCAGCCAGGAAACTCAGTGGGTGATTCTAGGCCCGTCACTCTCTTTTAGCCTCGCCTCCTTCACAGTGTTGTTGTATGGACAGGACAACCATCTGTGACACCCAATGCTTTTCAGAGGGGGAGGTGGAATAAAAATGTACCAGATAAATCACCGGCAGCCATTCCGATTTGGCCAAGCCTAAGAAGACTTGAAGGAGCTGCGGTGGCTCAAGTGGTTAAGACGCTGAACTGCAGGCTGTGGAAGGTCGGTAATTCAGCAGTTCGAGACCTGAGTGTGCCGCGTGACGGAGTGAGCTCCCGTCTCTAGTTCCAGCTCCTGCCAATCTATCAGTTCGAAAGCAAGAAATTGCAAGTAGATAAATAGGTACCACTTCGGTGGGAAGGTAACGGCGTTTCGTGCGCCTCGGTGTTTAGTCATGCCGGCCACATGACCACGGAAACGTCTT